TTAATGTCTGTATACATGTAACTATGTAAACTTGTATGTAATAAGAATACAACAATGGATGTTTTTAGATTTTTTTAGGGGCTTTTTTTGCAATTAAAAACGCTTTAGGGAAAGTGAACATGACTAAAATATCAAAGGCAACTTGAGTTGAGGATGAGAGAATCCCAAGGAGGCGTTTCTGTGATACTTTTCTGTATACGCTTACTACCACTCTTTCTTTCACCTGTCACATGGTGTACTTCTTTTCTACCATGATTTTCTAAAACTTAGATTGATCTCAGGATCTGGCGTATATAACGTCAGTGGTATCGTTTGAGTCGTGTCGCTCCTAGCTTCTTGCAGATGGTCACAGCGTACGTGAGTATTTAATTTCTGACTGCTTCACTTTGTGTCCGGTTCGTCCTGAGCCAGTCGGTGTCAGTCTGCCTCCATGGAAGGTCCATTCATAGAGAGGGCTGGCAGCCATGCTGGACCACGTGGAAACGCCATCGACCTCCAATTTCCTCTGTACGCTCTGTCCTCTCTACCTCTGGCCTTCTTACCGCTACCTTCCTCTTCCTCTTGGTCCTCATACCTCTATCCTCTGGCCTCTGTACCTCTCCTCTCTCCTTCTCCTCTCCTCTCCTCTCCTCTATCCTCTATCCTCTCTCTCCTCTCCTCTATCCTCTCCTCTCTCCTCTTTCCTCTCCTCTCTCCTCTGTCCTCTATCCTCTCCTCTCCTCTCTCCTCTCCTCTCCTCTCTCCTCTCCTCTCCTCTCTCCTCTCCTCTCTCCTCTCTCCTCTCTCCTCTCTTCTATCCTCTCTCTCCTCTCCTCTCCTCTCCTCTTCACTCTCCTCTCCTCTCCTCTCCTCTCCTCTTCCTCTCCTCTCTCCTCTCCTCTCCTCTATCCTCTCCTCTCCTCTTCACTCTCCTCTCCTCTCTCCTCTCTCCCTCCATACATTTGACCTCCCGCTGTACATTACTCCCACTCTGATGTGAATATCTCACACTGCCTGGCTCCCTCTCCCTCTTTGACCTTTCATTCCCTCTCTCCCTTCCTCCCTTCCTCCCTTCTCCCCTCCCTCCCTCCTTCATGTAACAGCCATGCAACCGGCCGCTGTTACACAATCACTCATTGTCCCTCCTGTATTTTTTGCCACTCTAGCACCTCCTGCTGGGGGAAGTTCAAATGGTCAGATGATGTAATTAAATTGTATTATTGCACTAGTGCAGTTTTATTACACTTGTCTTTGTTGGTGTTTTTACTGATGATTATTTATTGATTGATTATAAGGTCAATAAAATGTCAGTAAATAATGAGAAGTGTTTTCTTTTATCCAGCCCAAAAACATATTCAGTCTGATTATCTCATAAGAGAACCAGCAGCTGGAACTGAGATATTCTAGTTTGAATGTTGATTTTAGGACCGCAGCTACAGATTCTCAGTATCTTTAGTCTCTAAAAGCTCATAAAATTGGGACAAATCACAGTTTCTCAGCACAAAGAAAAGCCTAAGATCTTTACGTTTAAATAAAATATAAATATATATTTTCTCTCTTCCTCTGCAGGTCCTCTCAGCAGTATCCTCGTGAACAAATTTGGCAGCCGACCAATCATGATGCTCGGTGGCTGTCTGGCAGGGTCGGGACTGGTCTCTGCCTCCTTCTGCAACACTGTGGAGCAGCTCTACTTCTTCATAGGAGTAGTGGGGGGTCAGTACTTTACCCCCTCTGTCTCAGATGAACCACACTCAGTAAAATGCCCTGAAGGTCACACAGGACGAAGGTTTATTAATATATTATATATCAGAACAGAACCGGTTCAAGAACCAGAGCTAGTTGGTGGAAAATGTTTTCTCCATCATATTGAAACTAAATATTACAGGAAAGAACGAGTGTAAGAAAATAAAATATGGCAGCTTGTGATATTAAACAGATTCTGAAGAACGCTGTATTGATGTTTGTGATTAAACCACCAACCACTAGAGAGCAGTGTTGTGAACATAAACTGAGGGCTGATGTTTCTTACTGTCTCTTAATATATTGAATCATAACCTTTGTATCAGGAACTCAACTTATTTTAAGTGTTTTCATTCTAAATTCGTAGTCTGTTGATAGACGCTCACTTTGTCTTCCTCTCCTCGTGTAACTTTGTTTTCTCTCTCTTTAGGTTTGGGACTGGCGTTCAACTTGAATCCCGCCCTCACTATGATCGGTAAATACTTCTACAAGCGTCGGCCCATCGCCAACGGCATCGCCATGGCGGGCAGCCCGGTGTTCCTGTCCACGCTGGCTCCTCTCAACTCCTGGCTGTACGACGCGTTCGGCTGGAGAGGCAGCTTCCTCATCCTCGGAGGACTTCTGCTCAACTGCTGCGTGGCCGGCTCGCTCATGCGGCCCATCGGACCCAAACCTCAGCCGGCAAAGCCCGACTCGGAGGTCGGCGAGGCCAAGGCGGCGGACTCGGTGCAGCCGCAGCCGAAGAAGACGGTGATGCAGACCATCAACTCCTTCATCGACCTGACGCTGTTCAAACACCGCGGCTTCCTGCTCTACCTGAGCGGCAACGTGGTCATGTTCTTCGGCCTCTTCGCGCCGCTCGTCTTCCTCTCCAATTACGCCAAGAGTAAAGACATCAGCAAAGAGAAAGCTGCTTTCCTGCTCTCCGTTCTGGCGTTCGTGGATATGTTCGCCCGGCCCTCCATGGGCATGCTGGCCAACACCAGGTGGGTCCGGCCCAGGGTGCAGTACTTCTTCGCCGCCGCCGTCCTCTACAACGGAGTGTGTCACGTGCTGGCGCCGCTGTCCGTCGACTACACCGGGTTTGTGGTGTACGCCATCTTCTTTGGTTTTGCTTTCGGCTGGCTGAGCGCGGTGCTGTTTGAGACTCTGATGGACCTGGTGGGAGCTCAGAGGTTCTCCTCCGCCGTGGGCTTGGTCACTATAGTGGAGTGCGGCCCGGTGCTGCTGGGCCCGCCGCTAACAGGTGAGACACCCGGACGTGGTCATTCAGACAGCTCAACACCTTCTTTACTCACTTTATTAAATGAAAGATTGTTTATCAGCATTAAACCTTAATGTTGTCTGTCTCCTCCAGGTAGCTTCTATAACTACTACAACCACTACGACTACACCTACATCTCCTCCGGCATCATCCTCATCGTCGCCAGTGTGATGCTCTTCCTGGGAATGGGCCTCAACTACCGCCTGCTGGAGCGGGAGAGGAAAGAGGAGGAGAGAAGAGAGAGGGAGGAGCCCAAGGAGGAGCGCACCGCCATGTTAGCGCCTCCCTCGCCGTCAAAATCGGACGAGGAGGCGGAGGAGAAGAGCGCGCCGGCCGCCGTCACGCTGGATGAAGTGGCCAAGATGGACGAGGACACGGTGTAGAGGACTTCTTTTAAGAAAGGGACTTTTTTTAAGGACGCACACACAGCATCACACACTTATAGGAGCACACAGGAGAGCTGCAGCTCCAAACACACTTCATCAAGAGATCACACCTTTCACACAACCCTGAAGCCATAGAAACAAATACCTTATCAATAAAAACTTGAGACCTGCTGCTGTGATGTTACCCGACCGTCACGTCCGTCACGCAGCTTCGTCCACACCTCTGGTTTTTCGGTATCTGACGTGCCTTCGGTAAGTCCTCCGGCGAGCGCCACTCGTATGAAACAGCAGACGGTCGGAGGACTTTACTCTCAGGGTCTTGAGCTGCCGTTAAGGTTTTAGAAACACTCAAACAGGACGCTTTATTGTTACAGTACGTAGAGATTTTCCCTCACAAACAAAACAGTCGGCGTAGCTTCACTCCTCGAAGGGGTCGGACGCAGTCGCAGTGAATCTCTGCGTTCACACGTTAGCTCAGAGACGTTTCCAGGTTTTTATGCAGTCGAGAAGATATGAAGTAACATTATTTTACGTCTGCGGTGATTAAACGTTTAACCCGAGGACAGCGGCGTCGTTAGGAACTAATGTTAGATGAATGATGAAAGGGCGGTGAGAGAGAGAAGAGGTATCTGAGTACACTGCAGACAGAATACTGACCGATAATAATAATACTAATTCACACAGTTAGATCTGTTTCTAATTCATACAGGAGTGTGAAGAGCTATGCAGCCGCTGCAACTCGCCGTCTCTGCACTTTGTTAGTGTTTCACTGCTGCTGAAGATTAAATACTAACGGTTGAATTAGATTGAACTCATTTGGCAGCCTGAGCAGAACCGGAAATAACCTGAAAACAATTATCAGGTGGAACTCTCAAAGATTTCTGCTCAAACACACGAAAAATGTAGAAATACTTTAAAAAACGACGGGAAAGGAGTTAAAAACTAACGTAGGAATCTTTGGAGGGCGAACGGGAGTCGGAGCACCAGGAGGTCACGATGCTCGCTGTGGAGGAGGCTCCGGTAATGCTTGTACATAACTCTGTGTGCACTTTGTGTGTAATGTTGTATCACACACCCTCCGAGCAGAGCGGCTCACACAGTTACGCCCCGCGGAGCCTTTCTGCTGCGTGACCAGCAGCACGCCGCCGCTCGCAGTATTAAGTGACGCCGCACGCCGGGCGATGGCACCGGACTGAGGGTTTGAGAACAGGAACTAATGTCACTCTGAATCGCACACAATCCTAAATTCTCATCGTTCTGGATTAAAGGAAACGTAGTGTTGTTGTTTTTATTCGTGGATAACGTTTTAGTTCACAGTTCTATCAGATAAAAACATTTGTAATTTAAAAATAAATCTATTTTAGCTCGGTGTTTAACGACAATCTGACAGGAAGTCATCTTTGTAATGGAGTGTGTGTGTGTGTTGTGAGAGAGAGAGTGTTTGGGTTGTGTGTGTGTGTGAGAGAGAGAAGGAGAGTGTCGTGTGTTGTGTGTGTGTGGTGTGTTAGTGTGTGAGTATGGTGAGGTGTGTGTGTGTGTGTGTGTGTGTGTGAGTGTGTTGAGTGTGTGGTGTGTGTGTGTGTGTGAGTGTGGTGTTGTGGGTTGTGTCGTGGTGCTGTGAGTGTGTGTGTGTGTGAGAGCGGTGTGTGTCGTGTGTCGTGGACGAGCGTGTGTGTGTGTGTCGTGATGTGTGTGTGTGTGTGGTGTTGTGTGTGGTGTGAAGTGTTGTGTGTGTGTGGTGTTGAGTGTGTGGTGTGAGTGTGTTGTGTGTGTGTGTGTGTCAACTCGTGTCGCAGTTCGTCTCTAAAGCTGCAGAATGTGTCATATCAGATCCACAATGAACCGATCACTCAGTGATTATTGATGTATTGATCAGCGATCAGTTTGCTGCTGAAGGTTTTTGGTTTTATTGATCCGACCGCAGGAAATCAGCTTTGATCTTTCCTTTCTCCTGATGAGAGGAAATAAATGGTTTAAAACAATTCATTTGGTTTTTATAACGTTTCAACTTTTGAATGTTTCAGAAAGTTTTTGTGACGAAAATAAATAATTCTGAACTTTTACTTTACTTTTAAAGACTGTGATCATTTCTTGAAGTGGTGTTAATGTCTAACCCCGAGCTTTATACGAATACTATAAAGGGAAATTATATATTTATATTTTGGTCAACAAATCTCTTGAAAAGACCGACAACGAATTAAACTGAAACCGTTCATTCGCTCCTTCCAGTGTAACAGACGCCGACTGACGTTTCACACACGGATCGACTTTACTGTCGTCAATAACGGGTTCACTGTATAAACTGACCTGTTGCATTGTGGGAGTGTTTGAGTTCTGTAAACTGTTAATCAGATTAAAACACGGTGCCAGCACACGGCTGTTGTTGTTGTTGTTGTTTAGGGGAGCGTACCTGGACTCATCAGTAGGTGGCAGTACGCAGTGAGGAGTAAGATACTCAGAAGATGTGAGAAGTTACTATTTTGACATTAGATAGTAAACAAGGGTAAACAAAAATAAAGTGTTGTTATTGATACTAAATCAGGAAGTTGCGATCACAACAGTTTTCGTCGGTTTCGTCGAATCGAGGCAACTTTTGCTCAAATTTGACCGATTTATTAACGTTTCCAGTGACTGTTATCAATAATAAACAGTCCTACTGATTTTATTCTCACTGGAACAATTTGCCTTCGATTTGTTTTATTTTGTAGGAATTCATTTTATTTTGAAAATTTGCTGTGAAATCAGTGGTTTAGCAGTTTTATCAGTTCCCTGAAACAACCTGTGAATCCTGGAGCGACTGATTAACGTTGGCTCACTGCTACACTTAATTAGTATCATCAGTAATGTGTTTACCCTATTTCTGCATCAGAAGAGCTGCTGTGAAAAAGGCCCATTTAAAAAACACATCACAGTCCCACACACACACTGCTGTGTTCATCCGCAGCAGGAAGTAGTTCCTCCGGTTTGTGAACAGCCTCGTGCTCAGTGGAAAGTATTGATTGGTTGTTATTGGTTTATTGATCTTTTCAGGGGATTTTATTGACACGAACACAAACTGTGTGATCAGTTTTCCTTATAATCTGAAGGAAGTTGTTACTGCTTTTTAACTGATGGGCTCATTAAAGATTTCTCCCTCTTCCTCCTCTGTATTCGTGTTATTGAACGCTGTACGATACAAATACAGACTATCAGTGTAAAAGCTGTAAAGGTTATTGGATCTTGAACCCTTCTTTTTAAGGTGTCGTTGGAATCAATGGGAGAATATTTCTACCTGAAATATCCTATAAAATATAAATATTCAGAATTTGAAACTGAACCATTTCATTGAAACACTGAATGTCGCAGGGTTTTTAATAACGGTACTCTACAATAGATACAAAACAAATAAATCATTGTATTAATTTCCTGGAAAATAACGTAATGTTTCTTCTTTTTTAAAATGTATTTTAGTGGCTTTAGTAGATGTTTTTATGTTTTGTATGTTCAGTGTTTTTATGACTGGTGAGAGAATGATTAAACGGTTTTTAAAACAAATCTTTTGTTTGTTTTGTTCTGTGAACTCACACAAACACAAATTTACATTAATTACATTTCATACAGTTTTATTACAGCAGTTTGTATCTAAACCTTAAATATATATATATATATATATATATAATCTTTATTTACTAACAGAAACAGTCGGATATTAGCCAAACAAAGACTGGAAACAGTAATCCAGAGGGAGACACATCAGTCTGAAGCTCACTGATTGACACTTATATCATTTAATTCGTACAAAAACAGTAAAATAACCGACTTTCTTCCGATCAGCACCCTTTGTTGTCGGGTCTCAGTATAAATATGAAGTAGCATCTCAGTAGTAACACTCTGGAGGCCACACAGACGGATAAATAATAATAATAATAAATAATAAACTCTCCTCTTGTCTCCTGTTTATTCCTCCAGAAGCTCTGTCTCCTCCAACATACACAAATCTAACGATACGCGACAGATTATGGGGCAAATACACAAAATCTGTCCCTATTTGTTGTCTATTTCCTGTAATTCATGTCACCTGGTGCATTTATTTGCGTCTAACTAGCACGAGTAACGCGAGGTGAATATTCGTTTTGTGTTTGGTGGGAAAACACGATGAGACTAAAACACCAGAATCCACACCAGACCCCAGAGACAAAAACACTCATTTTACCTCCCAGAAACACACTTAATTCAAAAATAACTCAACAACAACAACAAACAACTGTTCTGACTCTTCAAATGTTGTTTTTTATAGTAAAGTTCATTAAAACTAAAACTAAAGAATTCAATTATTATTATGGCCTTTAATTAATTATCTGGATAATTTATAATAATATACATTTCCCCTGACTCAGTCACTGTTCAAACAACAATCCACTAACAGTTGTTGTTGTTTGTTCCACTAACAGTTGTTGTTGTTTGTCACATTACTCCACATTACCCGATGTAAAACCACAAATTGTCGTTTGTGCGATTCATTATAAAGTGTTAATTAGTGAGCTTTAGACGTTTGTTAGCTTCATATTTCATTATCTTATTACGTTTATCACCTTAAAGGGACAGAACACCCCAAAATCAATGATACCGTCTAGATCAGTGGTTCCCAACCTGAGGATAGGGACCCCCAGTAGGGGTCGCCAGAGCTTCACAGGGGGGCCGCAAGGACTGTAATAAAACTAAGTTGTTATTTTTAAAGTTTAGATTATTTAAGAACTAAACTTTGAATCACAAACTTATCATTAATATTATTTAAAATAAAATTAAATACATGATACAGACACAGCTTTGTATAAAAAGGTCTTAAAAATAACAGGAAAACTCATTTCTGATGTAACATTTACAGGAAATTGCTCGTTTTACACAGATTATGTCACGTCACCGCAGTCAGTGAGCTGTTGATATAAAAGGAGGTTTTAAAGGGACAAAGTTAGGAACACTTGATGTAGATTATGTTTTATTTTGAAGATAATCCACAGGGCCTTGGTTGGTGAGAGCTGTCATGGGGGCGGAACTTATTTTTCTTCTCCGGTATACTTTTACTCCTGATTAAATGTTGATGTTTGGCTTACGTTTAAAGCAGGGACCACAGAACAAGTGTATGTGTGAGGTTATTTTCGTAACGGGAGGGTCGAGTTTCTGGCTGGCCAAAACAATTCAACTAAAACAATCTTGTATGTAATAAATATTCAGTTGAACTTTAATTTCACAGGATTAGATGAGATTATTCCTCGAAAACTACAAGCAATCAAACGTTTGGAAAGATACAAACTCAGCTGGTGTTTGTGTGTTGTGGTGTGTGGTGGTGTTGTGTTTCAGTATGGTGGGAGGTGGTGTTGTGTCGGAGTCGTTCGGTGAACGATCCTCGGCGCTGTGGTGTGTTGAGCGACAGGGAGCAGCAGCAGGTCGAGCTCCAGAGAGAGGCTTGAATGGGAGAAGGGGGAGTAATCCAAGGGTTTGGGTGCACATTCAGGCTTGGCCAACAGCATCAGCAGGGGTGAACACGGCCACCTAACACACACACACCACACACACACACAACACACAAACACAGGGGGAGGAGGTGTGGTGAATGACAGAGGTGTTGGGTTTAGGAGGAAAGTAATCAGGGAGTATTTACTGGTCATTTTATTCAGAGGTAACTCTGCGTTTTTCACCGGTTCGTCAGCGGTGTGGGTTGTCTGCCAGAAGCTGGTCACACATTGAGCTTGGTTTTATCCGGTTTCTGAAGGCCACATTTTTTACCATTCCACTGTTAGGATCTTTTTGGTGGCGTTTTTTAACTTAGATTTTGGAACCGGATGAGGATTTTTAGTCATCACGTTCTGGATCTTAATTTATCAGAGAAACAGAGCTGATGGTAAACGTTAGGCAGGGCAGGCTCGGCTCGCAGCCTCCGACGTCCTTTGTCTGTCCAACAGGCGTGGGGAGGGGAAGTCAGTGATTGTTTTAAGAAGGTGTGGAATGGCTTTATTCAGTGTGGTTTAGGGTGGGTTTTAATCAGCAGGTCTGGTTTGTTTGAGAAGAGACCTCTGGTGATAATTGGTCCCGGGTTAGAAAGCTTCCTGAACCATGAACACTGGGGAAGGGAATGCGCTAACCGGGAGAAGGCTGACTGGCAATGACGCAAGGTTGGGTGAAGAACAACAACTCCCATGAGTCCACGCTGGCCTTTCACCACCTCATCAAGACTTCGATCTTTTGTGTATTTTGTGGGGATGGTAGAAACCCTGCTTACGCAAATTACACACTGTACTTAACACATTTTATTAATTACTATAACAATTCACATTCTCCAGCTAAAAGGAAACAAACTCTTACCGTTCTGCGCGGGTTCAGGTTGCGGTCCCCAGGGCGGCCACCAGGGCTGGGACGGTGAAGAACGGGGGCCCGAGCAGGCTGAGTTAGTACGAACTAGGTACGAGCGGGTTATCCTCGACTTCTCGGACTGATGCGCTTGATATGCCTCTCCACCGGACGGCGGCGAAAGTTTGGGGCGGGCAGCAGACTGAGCAGAGGACGCCGCAGGGCTCGGGGTCAGAAGTCAGGCTGCAGCTCGGCTGCCCGAACACACAAGAACATTAACATAAAGGACCAAAATCAGAAGGATTTTAACTCACATATGTGTTTTACTTTACAACAGCTTTTAAAAGCAACATCATTGTATATTTTTGTCTGTTTTCCTGCTCGTAAAAATCAACTTGTACAAAGCTTTGAAACATGATTCAATAAATATCTCTGTCACGTTAAAAGGGTAGTGGTCAGTGAGTGTTGCTCGCTTGCCTCGAAGTGCAGTTAAAGGGTAGAAAGAGAAAGAAGCAGCGTTGGGATCGATGGCGAGTTGTTGCTCTTCACCACATTGGTGTCATTGCCAGTCAGTTCTCCCGGTTAGGGATTGCCTCAGTGTTCAGTGGTTCAGGAGGTTGTCTACCGGGAGCCCAATTATCCACAGAGGTCCCTCCTTCTCCAAAAAAAAAGGACCTGCTGATTAAAACCATAAAACACACTGAATAAAAGCAGTTCCACCTTAAATCATGCTTCTCCCACGCTGTTGGACAGACAAAGGACGTCCCGGAGGGGCTGCGAGCCGAGCCTGCTGTAACGTAATAGCTCGCTTGATTCTCTGATAACTTAAGAATCCAGACCGTCCGATGACTAAAATCCTTCATCCGGTTCAATTAGAGTTAAAAGCCACCAAGATTCTAAATCAGTGGATCGGTAAAAAATGTGGCTTCAGACTCGGATTCAACGTCAGTGTCTCAGCTTCTGTCAGACAACACAT